GGCCGGCTCCGCTGCCCCCACCTCGTGCCCCCCAGCTGAAGTGGGGGCCCCCCTCCCACAAGGCCTTCTGCTCCCGGGGCAAGTGCTGACCACCCCAAAATGTGTCCCCTCCCACCCAGGGTCCCTGGGGGCTGTGGGTCTGAGACCCCCAAATTCCCACTCAGGGGTCCCCTGGGGCAGTGAGGAGGATGAGACCCCCCAAATCCTCACTCTGGGGGTCCCTGGGGGGCGTGAGCGTGAGACCCCCAAATCCTCACTCTGGGGGTCCCTGGGGGTCCCCTGTCACTCTGACCCCCCAGATATCCCCCCCTGTCCCCCCCAGGGCCCCCCTGGCCCCTGGACCCTGCAGGGCTGTGTTTGGGGGTCCCTGTCACTCTGACCCCCAATGTCCTCCCAGGGCCCCCCCGGCCCCCCCGGACCCCTGCAGGGCTGTGTTTGGGGGTCCCTGTCACTCCTGACCCCCGATGTCCTGTCCCCCAGGGCCCCCGGCCCCCTGGACCCCCTGCAGGGCTGTGTGTGCGGGCGCTGCAGCCCTGGGACCCCCCCGGCCCCGAAGCCCCCCCCGAGCTGGAGGAGCCCCCCCCGAGCTGCCACCACGGGCGGCACCGCGGCCACCGAGGGGACATCACCGGCCACAGAGGGGACATCGGCCATCGGGGGGACATTGGTGGCCACCGAGGGGACATCGGTGGCCACCGAGGGGACATCGCCCACCGAGGAGACATTGGTGGCCACCGAGGGGATATTGGTGGCCATCGAGGAGATGTCGGTGGCCACAGAGGAGATATCGGTGGCCACAGAGGGGACCTCGGCCACCGAGGGGGGGACGTCGTCGTGGGCCACCGAGGGGACATCGTTGGTGGCCACCGAGGGGACATCAGTGGTGGCCACCGAGGGGACATCGCCGCCCGCATCGGGCGCCTGCAGCAGGTGGGGACATGGGGGGGACAGGGGGGGACAAGGGGGGCACTGGGAGGATGTGGAGGGACAACGGGGGACAAGGGGACACAGAGGACACAGGGGGACACCAGGGGGTCATGGAAGGACATGGAGGTGACATTGGGGCATCCTTTTGTGACCCTGGGGTGTCCCTGGGGGTGACCCTGGGGTGTCCCTGTCCCCCTGTGACCCCGGGGTGTCCCTGTGTCCCTGGGGGTGACCCTGGGGTGTCCCTGTCTCTGTGTGACCCTGGGATGTCCCTGTGTCCCTGGGGGTGACCCTGGGGTGTCCCCGTGTCCTTGGGGGGTGACCCTGGGGTGTCCCTGTCTCTGTGTGACCCCAGGGTGTCCCTGTGTCCTGAGGGTGACATTGGGGTGTCCCTGTCCCCCTGTGATGCCGGGGTGTCCCCGTGTCCCTGGGAGGTGACATTGGGGTGTCCCTGTCCCCATGTCACCCTGAGGTGTCCTCACGACCCTGGGGGTGACATTGGGATGTCCCTGGGGGTGACATTCAGGTGTCCCAGGGTGACTCATGTCCCCGGGGGTGACCCCGAGGTGTCCCTTGGGTGACCCCTGTCCCCCTGTGACCCTGGGGTGTCCCCTGGGGGTGACATTGGGGTGTCCCTGGTTGACCCCTGTGACCCCGGGGTGTCCCTGGGGGTGACCCCGAGGTGTCCCCTGGCTGACCCCTGTCCTGAGGTGACCCCGGGGTGTCCCTGGGGGTGACATTGGGGTGTCCCCTGGGTGACCCCTGTCCCGGGGTGACCCCGGGGTGTCCCTGGGAGTGACATTGGGGTGTCCCCTGGGTGACCCCTGTCCTGGGGTGACCCCGAGGTGTCCCTGGGGGTTACATTCAGGTGTCCCCTGGGTGACCCCTGTCCTGGGGTGACCCCGAGGTGTCCCTGGGGTTGACATTCAGGTGTCCCCTGGGTGACCCCTGTCCCCCTCACCCCCCCGGTGTCCCCCAGGCCCAGCTCTGGAGTTTCCCCCCTGGCCCCGTGTCCCCCCCCCGGGCCCGGGCCCTGCCCCCCCTCCAGCAGGTCTGGAGCCTGCTGCACCCCGAGGTGAGGGGGGACACTGGGGGCTGGGGGCTTGGGGACAGTTGGGGGCTGTGGGGACTGGGAGGGGGAATCTGAGGGGCTATGGGGAAGTTTTGGGGGGTTGAAGGGGATATGAGGGCAGAATGGGGAGGGGGATCTGGGAGGGAGGGGGGCTTTGGGGGACCATGGGGGTGTTTGGGGGTCTGGGAGGGGGATATGTGGGGCATAGCCTTAGGGGGCCAAGTGGGGGTGTTTGGGGGGTCTGGGAGGGGAGATATGGGGGTTGGGAGGGGAGGGGGATATGGGGAAAGGAGGGGTCCCAGAAGGAACTGGAGGGCCATGGGGAGCGGCTGGGAAGGGGACACAGGAAGTGAAGGGGGAGGCTGTGGGGTGGAAATGGGGTCCAGGGGGCACTGGGGGAGGGTCAAGGGGGCTGTGGGGAGCACTGGGAGCACTGGGAATGGGAGGAGGGAGCAGGGTGAGGTTCCCCCACTGTGTGCCCTCTGATCTCCGACCCGCCCCCTCCTCCCCCCCCCAGAAAAGGGACGTTCCTGGCCAAACGGGGGCGCAGCTGAAGATGGGCGGCCCCTCTCCAGACCTCCCACGGGCAGCCGCTGCCCCCACCCAGCTCCCCTGCCCCCTCGAGGACTGCCCAGCCTCTCAAACGGCGCCGCACGCAGCCCCCCAGCAGGTGGGGAGGGGCACGTTGGGGGCTCCAGAGGGGGCTGGGGGCATTAAAGGGTTCTGGGGGGGGCATTAAAGGGATCTGGGAGGGCCTTAGAGGGTCTTGGGGGTTTTAAGGGGGCTGGGGAGGCGTTGATGGAGCTGGGGGCAATGGGTCTGGGGGTGTCCATGGGTCTGGGGGCACTCCAGGGGTCTGGGGAGGCACTCAGGGGTCTGGGAGGGGGCCAATGGGTCTGGGGGGGCCAATGGGTCTGGGGGGGGCAAATGGGTCTGGGGGGGCACTGTGGATCTGGGGGCACCTAGGGTCTGGGGGGTCACTCTAGGGGTCTGGGGGGGGCACTCAGGGTCTGGGGGCACTGCGTGGGTTTAAGGGGGCACTCAGTGAGGGGTCTGGGGGCTAAATGGGTCTGGGGGCACTGTGATCTGGGGGCACTCTAGGGTCTGGGGTCACTCAGGGTCTGGGGGTACCCTCAGGGGTCTGGGGGCACAGTGGGCACCCCCTGTGCCACCCCCTGACCCCTCTGTCCCCAGGGGGGCTGGGGCGCTGCCCCCGGGTCCCCTGGGCCCCCCGTCGTTCCCGCTGCCCCGGGGCCGTGGAGCCCCTCCCCCCGCGCCGAGGCCTGGGCCCCCCGCCTCACGGAGCCCCCCGGACAGACAGGTGGGACCCCTCTTCTGTGTCACCCCCCACGTGTCCCCTTGTCACCCCCCCACTGTGTCACTCCTGTGTCCCCCTTGTCACCCCCCATGTGTCCCCTTGTCACCCCCCACTGTGTCACCCCCCTAGTGTCCCCTTTGTCACTCCCCCTGTCACCCCCCACTTGTCCCCCTTGTCACTCCCCTGCTGTGTCACCTCCCCACTGTGTCACCCCCCCGTGTCACCTCCCCACTTGTCCCTCTCTTTGTCACTCCCCTGCTGTGTCACCCCTGTGTCACTCCCTGATGTGACTCCTCCCCACCCTGAGTGTCCCCAGGTCACCCACCCCACGTCACCATCCTGTTGTGTCCTTGTCCCCCCCATGTCATCCCCCTGGCACTCTGTGGTAGGCCTCGTGTCACCTCCTGTGTGTCCCTGTCTCACCTCCCCGTGTCACCTCCCTGTGTCACCTCCCTGTGTCACCTCCCATGCCCTCCCAGTCCCTCCATTGCCCTGTGTCTTCCTTGTGTTCCCCTCATCTTCCTGTGTCTTCTCCCCATGTCCCCATGTCCTCATGTCCCTTCCATGTTCCCATCTATCCCCCGTGTCCCTGCAACCCCTCATGTCACCACTCCTCTGTCCCTCTGTCCCCACCCTGTCCCCCAAATCTCCGTGTCCCCCATGTCCCTCTGTGCCCCTATGTCCTTGTGTCCCCTATACACCCCCATGCCTTTGTCACCCCCCATGTCCCCCCATGTCACCCCTTGTCCATGTGTCCCTCTAGTGTCCCTGTGTCCTCAGTGCCCCCATGTCCCTCTATGTCCCCTCATGTCCTCATGTCCCCCGTATTCCTCTCTGTCACCCCCCCATCCCCCATGTCCCTCTGTCCCCCATGTCCCTCTGTCACCCCCATTCCCTCTGTCCCTCCACGTCCCTGTGTCCCCCCCATGTCCCTCTGTCACCCCCATGTCCCCCCAGGTCCCTCCCCATGTCCTTCTGTCCTCTCCGTGTCCTTGTGTCCCCTAATGTCCCCTCATGTCCCTCTGTCACCCCCATGTCCCTCTGTCACCCCCCATGTCCCCCCATGTCCTTCTGTCCTCCATGTCCCTCTGTCCCCCCATGTTCCCCCCATGTCCCTCTGTCACCCCCCATGTCCCCCCATGTCCTTCTGTCCTCTCCATGTCCCTGTGTCCCCCATGTTCCCCCATGTCCCTCTGTCCCCCATGTCCCCACATGTTCCCCCCATGTCCCTTGTCACCCCCATGTCCCTCCCCATGTCACTCCTTGTCTCTTGTGTCCCCTTGTCCTTTGTCCCTCCATGTTCCTTTGTCACTCTGATGTCCTCTCTATGTCCCCCCTCCCCTTTTCGCCTCTCACTGTCCCCGTTCTGTCCCCCCAGGAGCAGCGATAGGCTGCCCCCCGTTCCTACTGCCCCTCTCTGCCGCCTCCCGCTCCTCCCCTGCGCCCCCGGGCCCTCCCAAGCGACCTTAGGGCAGGCTTCGCCTCCCCAGCCGTCACCAGCACCCACCGCCTGTGCGCCTTGCGCCCCGGGCGCCGCTCGACCTCCCCACCAGCACTCCGCCTCACTGCGGCGTGAGTGGGGACACGGGGGAGGGGGTGGACACGGGGAGGGGGGACATGGAGATGGAGGGGGACACGGGGAGGGGGGACACGGGGGAGGGGGACATGAGGAGGGGGACACAGTGGGTGGGGGACATGGGGTGGAGGGGGACGTGGGAGATGGGGAAACATGGGGGCAGGGTGGGGACATGGGGGACATGGGGGACATGGAGGTGAAGGGGGACATGGGGGACATGGGGAGTAGGGGGACACGAGGGGACATGAGGGCAGGGGGAACACAGGGAGTGGGGACACGGGAGTGGGGGATGGGGAGGATGGGGGAGTCGGGGGATATGGAGGGTGAGGGGAGATGTGAGAGGACATGGGAGGCTGGGGGACACGGAGGGAGGGACATTGAGGGGGAACAGAGGCCATTACGGACGGGGGGACACGGTGGGGACGTAGGGGTGAGAGGGGGACATGGGGGACTCCTGGGCCTGGGGGATGGAGACAGGAGATGGGGACACAGCCCAAAGGGTCTCACTCTGGGGCTCCTCTCCCCAAATTCTCCCCAGGCTCCCCGACCGTTTCAACCTCCGGAGCCGCCAGGGCCGGGGGCGAGTGGGGGTCCCCGCCCCACATCCCCCTGGCCCCCCTGCTGCGCCCCCAGACTCCCTGCCCGCCCCCTGCCCTGGCTGAAGGAGGCGGGGGCCGACCCCTTGACGAGATCCTTTTGGGGACCCTCCCATGGGCGGCGGGGCCGATCCTCTTTGGGGGTCCCCGGGACCCTTCCCAGACCACCACCACCAGCACGGGGGCACTTCAAACCCCCTTTCCCTACTCCAGACAAGGAGGAGGAGGAGGAGGAGGAAACCCCCCACCAACCCCCTGCTGCCGATTTCTGGCTGGGGACCCTCCCCACGCCTCTCCCCCGCCCCCTGTCCGAGGGTCCCCCGACGCCTCAGGAATCCTCCCCGGCCCCTCTCCCCAGCCCCCTCCCGCGGGGGTCGCCTTCCAAAGAGCGCCCCTGCCCCTCCCCCACCCCCGCCCACTCCCGAACCCCCTCCCCACCCTACGGCCTCTCCCCGCCCGCCTCGTCCTCGCCGGAGTGCCCTCGCCTCTTCGACTTCGGGCCCCTGATCGCATCAGTTCGAGGAGCCCCGAGTTCGCTAAGATCCTGCCGGACGGGCTGGCCACCATCATGAGGATGCTGGACGAGTCCATCCGCCAGGAGGAGGACGAGGAGGGTCTCCCCTCCCCTGCCCCTCCCCTGCCGCCCCCCGCCGCCTCCCTCCTCCTCCTCCTCCTCCTCCTCCCGCCCGCCCCCCTCCTCGCGCTCGCCCCAAAGCCTCCCCTCAGCCCCCGGCCACGACCCCTCGGACCCCCTCGGCTTTACCCCTTCGCAAACGGGACGACCCCAAAGCGGGGCCGTTTTACCCCAACAACAACAACAACCCCTACTAACAACAACCCCCAAAGCCTCCTTTCGAAGGGCAAAACCCACGCTGGGGGTGGGGGTGGGGCTTGAGGGCGGGAACCCCAAACCCGCCCCTTCCCTCCCCCTCCTCCCCCACCACCACCACCAACCCCCAACTCGCTACCTCATGTCCCACGGCCTGGGGGCCCCTGATGTCCCCCGCGATGTCCCCGGTGCCCCCCGGTGCCCCCTGATGCCCCCGGTGCCCCTCTGGTGCCCCTCGGCCCGCAGCGACTCGGAGGCGCTGGAGGAGATCAGCAGGGCCTGCGAGACCCTGGCCGAGCAGGTGGGCCGGCCCAGCCCCTCAAACCCGGGGCGCGCCACCGCCGCCCTGGACCCGCAGGGCCGGGGAGGGGGAGGGGCACGGGGCGCCCCGGCGCCGCCACCCCCGCAAGGAGGAGCGGGCGACGCGAGCGGCCCGTGCTGGCCACGCTGGACCTGCAGAGCCCCGGCGTGCAGGACAAGGGGGCCCCCGAGGCTGGACGCCAAAATGGGGGTCCCCAGAACCCTCTGCGGCCCCTCTGCTGCCCCTCCTCCCCGCCGCCCCACCCCCTCCCTGGTCAGCTCGGCCGACCTGCTGGAAGCTGCGCTCGCTGGGGAGGGGCCCCCAAGAGCTCCAAGATCCGCCTCATCAAGGTGGAGAGCGGGGCCGGGGGCTGGGGGCTCCCGGGCTCGGGGGCCCCGGGGCGGCGCCTGGTGGCCTCGGACGGGGGAGCCCGGGCTGCCCCTGGCCCAGCTCACCATCCGGCACAGCGCGCGGAGGTGGTGCGGGCCAGCAAGTGAGCGGGCTGGGGGCCAGGGGGCTGGGGGTCACAGAGGGGCTGGGGGCACACGAGGGGTTTGAGGGATCACAGAGGGGCTAGGGGGTTCACAAGGTGTTTGGGGGGTTACAGAGGGGTTTGAGGGGGCCATACTGGTGTCTAGGGGGTCGCAGAGGAGTTTGGGGGTCCCAGAGGGTTTGGGGGGTCCCAGAGGGGTTTGGGGGTCCGCAAGGGGTTTGGGGGTTACAGAGGGGTTTGAGGGGGTCATAGGGGTTTAGGGGGCTCAGAGAGGGGGCTGGGGGACACCGAGGGGCTGGGGGTCACAGGGGGTTTGGGGGTCGCAAGGCGGTTTGGGGGTTTACAGAGGGGTTTGAGGGGTCACACGGGGGCTAGGGGAGTCACAGGGGACTGGGGGGTTCACAAGGTGGGGCTGGGGGCACACGAGGGGCTGGGGGTCTCACAAGGGGTTTGAGGGGGGTCACAAGGGGGCTGGGGGTCACAAGGGGGTTTGAGGGGATCTGCAAGGGGGCTGGGGGTCACAAGGGGCTGGGAGGGCCCACAGGGGACTGGGAGGTGCCACGAGGGCTGGGGTCACAAGGGGGCTGGGGGTATCACAAGGGGGTTTGAGGGGATCACAGAGGGGTTTGGGGGTCACACAGGGGTTTGGGGAGGGTCACAAGGGGTTTGAGGAGAGGATGGGGAGTTTAGGGGGTCTGGGAGGGGGTTTAGGGGTTCATAGAGCGCTTAGGGGGTTTCACGAGGATTTCGGGTGGTTCCAGGTGGGGTTTGGGGGATCACAGAGGAATCTAGGAGCTGATTTGAGGGGTCCCAGGTGGGTTTGAGAGATGATGGGGGGGGGTCCTGGGAGTGTTTTGGGTGTTCTTGGGGGGGTTGGGGGTCCCGGGAATGTTTTGGGTGTTCCTGTGGGCGTTGGGGGTCTGGGAGTGTTTTGGGTGTTCCGGGGGATTTGGGGTCCGGGAATGTTTTAGGTGTTCCTGGGGAGTGTTTGGGGTCCCAGGAGTGCTTTGGATGTTCCTGGGGGTGTTGGGGGTCTGGGTGTTTTTTGGGTGTTCCTGGGGTTGTTTGGGGGTTCTGGGTGTGCTTTGGATGTTCCTGGGGGCATTGGGGATCTGGGAATGTTTTGGGAGATCTTGGGGGTGTTGGGGGTCCCAAGAATGTTTTGGGTGTTCCTGGGGGTGTCTGGGGGTCCCAGGAGTGCTTTGGCCCCCCCGTGCCCCCCTCAGAGCCCCCCTCCCCGCAGGCAGGCGCGGCTGAAGGGGCCGTTCCGCGAGTCCTACCTGTGCCCCGCCCAGTCCGTGAAGCCCCAAATCGACGCCCGGGAGCAGCTCCCGAGGGACAAACTCAACCCCCCCACGCCCAGCATCTACGTGAGTGCCCATTGGCTGCTGCCCGGGACCCCTGGCTGCTCATTGGTCCCCTGGCTGGGTCCTCTGGGTGCTGATTGGTCCCCTGGCTGGGTCCTCTGGTTGATGATTGGTCACCTGGCTGGATCCCCTGGCTGCTGATTGGTCCCCTGGCTGGATCCCCTGCCTGCTGATTGGTTCCCTGGCTGGATCCCCTGCCTGCTGATTGGTCCCCTGGCTGGATCCCCTGGGTGCTGATTGGCTGCTGAACGGGCCCCTGGCTCCTCATTGGCTCCCTGGCTGGGCCCCCTGGCTCCTGATTGGCTCCCTGATTGGGTCCCCTGCCCAGTGATTGGCTCCCTGGCCAGGCTCCCTGGCTGCTGATTGGACCCTTGGCTGGATCCTCTGGCTCCTGATTGGCTCCCTGGCCAGGCTCCCTGGCTCTTGATTGGCTCCCTGGCTGAATCCCCTGGCTGCTGATTGGCTCCCTGGCCAGGCCCCCTGGCTCCTGATTGGCTCCCTGATTGGATCCCCTGCCTGTTGATTGGCCCCCCTGTCAGAGCCCCCTGTGCTCTGATTGGTCCCCTGGCAGAGTCACTGGTGGTCTGTGATTGGTCCCTGGGCTGGGTGCTGCTCTGTGATTGGTCTCTGTGGTGGGAGCTGGTCTCTGATTGGTTTCCCACAGTGGGTTCTGGTCCCTGATTGGTCCCCGGTGGCAGGGGCTGGTCTGTGATCGGTTCCTGGGCTGGCTGGTGTGTGATTGGTCCTTGTGGTGGGTTCTGGTCTGTGATTGGTTCCCTGTGGCCGGTTCTGCTCCGTGATTGGCTCCCTCGGTGGGTTCCGCTCCCTGATTGGTCCCCGCCGTCCCCTCCCCCCCAGCTGGAGAGCAAACGCGACGCCTTCTCGCCCGTCCTGCTGCAGTTCTGCACCGACCCCAAGAACCCCATCACCGTCATCCGCGGCCTGGCGGGCTCCCTGCGCCTCAGTGAGTCACCCCAAAATCTGGGGGGGACACCCCAAATCCTGGGACACCCCCCTGACCCCCCTGAGACCCCCAAAACCCCCCAGGGACCCCCCAAACCTGCCCCTATGGGACCCCCCCCATCACCGTCATCCGCGGCCTGGCGGGGTCCCTGCGCCTCAGTGAGTCACCCCAAAACCCTACAGGGGCACCCCAAATCCTGGGACACCCTCTGAGACCCCAAAACCCCAGGGAACCCCAAAACCCCCAGGGACCCCCAAACCTTCCCCATGGGACCCCCATCACCGTCATCCGCGGCCTGGCGGGCTCCCTGCGCCTCAGTGAGTCACCCCAAAACCCTACAGGGACACCCTAAATCCTGGGACACCCCCTGACCCCCTGGAGACCCCCAAAACCCCCAGGGATCCCCCAAAACCTGCCTCCCTGGGACCCCCATCACCGTCATCCGCGGCCTGGCGGGTCCCTGCGCCCCAGTGAGTCACCCCCAAAACCTGGGGGGACACCCCAAATCCTGGGACAGCCCCTGAGACCCCAAAACCCCGGAAACCCCCAGGGACCCCCAAACCTGCCCCATGGGACCCCCATCACCGTCATCCGCAGCCTGGCGGGGTCCCTGCGCCTCAGTGAGTCACCCCAAAATCTGGGGGGGACACCCCAAATCCTGGGACACCCCCTGAGACCCCAAAACCCCCTGGGCCCCCCTACCATCACCGTCATCCGCGGCCTGGCGGGGTCCCTGCGCCTCAGTGAGTCACCCCCAAAATCTGGGGACACCCCCAAATCCTGGGACACCCCCAGGGACTCCCCCAAAACCCCCAGGACCCCGAAACCTGCCCCTGGGACCCCCATCACCGTCATCCGCGGCCTGGCGGGGTCCCTGCGCCTCAGTGAGTCACCCCAAAACCCTACAGGGGTACCCCAAATCCTGGGACACCCCTGAGACCCCAGGGACCCCAAAACCCCCAGGGATCCCCCAAACCTGCCCCCATAGGACCCCCCATCACCGTCATCCGCGGCCTGGCGGGGTCCCTGCGCCAGTGAGTCACCCCAAACCCCCTGGGACACCCCAAATCCTGGGACACCCCCTGACCCCCAGGGACCCCCAAACCCCCCAGGGACCCCCCAAAACCCCAGGGACCCCCAAACCTACCCCCATGGGACCCCCATCACCGTCATCCATGACCTGACGGGTCCCTGCGCCTCAGTGAGTCACCCCAAACCCCTACAGGGGACTCCCAAATCCTGGGACACCCCTGACCCCCTGAGACCCCAAAACCCCCAGGGACCCCCAAAACCCCAGGACCCCCAAGCCTGCCCCCAGGGACCCCCCATCACCGTCATCCGCGGCCTGGCGGGCTCCCTGCGCCTCAGTGAGTCACCCTAAAATCTGGGGGACACCCCAAATCCTGGGACACCCCCTGAGACCCCAAAACCCCCAAACCCCCAGGGACCCCCAAACCTGCCCCCATGGGACCCCCCATCACCATCATCCGCGGCCTGGCGGGGTCCCTGCGCCTCAGTGAGTCACCCCAAAACCCCCTGGGGCACCCCAAATCATGGGACACCCCCCTGACCTCCCCAGGGACCCCAAATCCTGGGACACCCCCCTGACCTCCCCAGGGACCCCAAATCCTGGGACACCCCTCTGACCAACCCTAATCCTTCCAGGGACCCCAAAACCCTAAAGGAGACCCCAAATCTTGGGGACACCCCCTGATACCGGTGGAGCCCCCCTGTCCCTGCTCCTGTCCCTGTCCCTGTCCCTGCTCCTGTCCCTGTCCCTGTCCCTGTCTCTGTCCCTGTCCCTGTCCCTGTCCCCTGGTACCCCCCAGGCCCCTCCCCTGACCCCCTGCCCCTGTTTCGTGCCAGACCTGGGGCTGTTCAGCACCAAGACGCTGGTGGAACCCCCCTGTCCCTGTCCCTGTCCCTGTTTCTGTGGGACCCCCCATCCCCCTGGCAGCCCCCAGACCCTCTGTCCTGTGTTTTATATCAGACCTGGGGCTGTTCAGCACCAAGACCCCGGTGGAGCCCCCCTGTCCCTGTCCCCCTCGTACCCTCCAGACCCCCTTCCCTCACCCTTCCCCTGTATTTTATATCAGACCTGGGGCTCTTCAGCACCAAGACCCCGGTGGAACGCCCCTGTCCCCATCCCCCTGGCAGCCCCCAGACCCTCTGTCCTGTGTTTTATATCAGACCTGGGGCTGTTCAGCACCAAGATGTTGGTGGAGACCCCCTGTCCCTGTCCCTACTCCCTGGCACCTCTCAGACCCCCTCCTCTGACCCCCTGCCCCTGTTTCGTGCCAGACCTGGGGCTGTTCAGCACCAAGACCCCGGTGGAACCCCCCTGTCCCCCTTCCCCTGGCAGCCCCCAGACCCTCTCCCCTGTGTTTTATATCAGACCTGGGGCTGTTCAGCACCAAGACCCTGGTGGAGGCGAGTGGCGAGCAGTGGGGACCCCCCAGACCCCCTCCCCTCACCCTTCCCATGTGTTTTGTGCCAGACCTGGGGCTGTTCAGCACCAAGACGCTGGTGGAGGCCAGCAGTGAACAGTGGGGACCCCCCATCCCCCTGGCAGCCCCCAGACCCTCTGTCCTGTGTTTTATATCAGACTTGGGGCTGTTCAGCACCAAGACCCTGGTGGAGGCGAGTGGCGAGCAGTGGGGACCCCCCAGACCCCCTCCCCTCACCCTTCCCCTGTGTTTTATATCAGACCTGGGGCTGTTCAGCACCAAGACCCTGGTGGAGGCGAGTGGCGAGCAGTGGGGACCCCCCATCCCCCTGGCAGCCCCCAGACCCTCTCCCCTGTGTTTTGTGCCAGACCTGGGGCTGTTCAGCACCAAGACCCTGGTGGAGGCGAGTGGCGAGCAGTGGGGACCCCCCATCCCCCTGGCAGCCCCCAGACCCTCTGTCCTGTGTTTCGTGCCAGACCTGGGGCTGTTCAGCACCAAGACCCTGGTGGAGGCGAGTGGCGAGCACGCCGTCGAGGTGCGCACGCAGGTCCAGCAGCCCTCGGACCAGAACTGGGACCTGTCGGGGACGCGCCAGGTCTGGCCCTGCGAGAGCAGCCGCTCCCACACCACCATCGCCAAGTACGCCCAGTACCAGGCATCGTCCTTCCAGGAGTCCCTGCAGGTGAGGGGGACATGTGGGGGACACACAGAGGGACAGGGGGGACACACAGAGGGACAGGGGACACCTCAGGGACCCCACACCACCATCGCCAAGTACGCCCAGTACCAGGCATCGTCCTTCCAGGAGTCCCTGCAGGTGAGGGGGGACATCCACAGGGACAGGGGACACGGGGGGGACACCCCAGGGACACACAGAGGGACAGGGGACACCTCAGGGTCACCCCACACCAGTATCAGGCATCCTCCTTCCAGGAGTCCCTGCAGGTGAGGGGGGACAGGCAGGGGACACGGAGGGACACCCCAGGGACACACAGAGGGGCAGGGGACACCTCAGGGACACATAGAGGGACAGGGGACACGGGGGGGACACCCCAGGGACACACAGAGGGACAGGGGACACACAGAGGGACAGGGGGGACACCCCCAGGGGCAGGGGACACCTCAGGGTCACCCCACATCACTATCTCCCAGTACACCCAGTACAGGGATCCTCCTTCCAGGAGTCCCTGCAGGTGAGGGGACACGGGGGGGACACACAGAGGGGCAGGGGACACCTCAGGGACAGTCCACACCAGCATCTCCCAATACACCCAGTACCAGGCATCGTCCTTCCAGGAGTCCCTGCAGGTGAGGGGGGACAGGGACAGGGGACCCGGGGGGGACATGGGGGGTGCCAGGGGGACACAGGGCACTTTCATCCTCCCAGTGTCCCCAGGGTGTCCCCCAGGTGTCCCCAGGGTGATTCCAAGTGTCCCCAACTGTTCTCACATGTCCCCTGATGGCTGGGGTGGCTGAGGTGACACTGGGGGTGGCTGAGGTGACACTGGGGGGGCTGAGGTGACATTGGAGGGGCTGAGGTGACATTGGAGGGGCTGAGGTGACATTGGAGGGGCTGAGGTGACACTGGAGGGACTGAGGTGACACTGGGGGAGCTGAGGTGACACTGGGGTGGCAGAGGTGACACTGGGGGGGCTGAGGTGACACTGGGGGGCTCAGGTGACACTGGGGGGGCTGAGGTACCACCTGGGGTGCCACCTGAGGTGCCACTGTCCCCACAGGAGGACAAGGACAGCGAGGATGAGGAGGCCGAGGAGCCCGACAGCACCACCGAGACCCCCCCCAGGTGGGGACACCCCCGGGGTCCCTCTTGGGGACGTCTTGGGGGGAAGGGGGGTGGGAAATGTCACCCACTTGCCAGCCTGGGCCACTCTGGGGGCGTCTGGGTGTCCTCAGGGGGGTCCCCAGGGTGTCCCTGTGTCCTTGGGGGGGGTCCTGGTGTCCCCAGGGATGTCCCCAGGGTGTCCCTGTGTCCTTGGGGGGGTGTCCCATTATCCCCAGGGGGGTCCCCAGGGTGTCCCTGTGTCCTTGGGGGATGTCCTGGTATCCCCAGGGGGGTCCCCAGGGTGTCCCTGTGTCCTGGGGGGGGGTCCTGGTGTCCCCAGGGAGGTCCCCAGGGTGTCCCTGTGTCCTTGGGGGGGTGTCCCATTATCCCCAGGGGGTCCCCAGGGTGTCCCTGTGTCCGTGGGGGGGGTCCTGGTGTCCCCAGGGGGTCCCCAGGGTGTCCCTGTGTCCTTGGAGGGGTTCTGGTGTCCCCAAGGGGGTCCCCAGGGTGTCACTGTGTCCTTGGGGGGGTGTCCCATTATCCCCAGGGATGTCCCCAGGGTGTCCCTGTGTCCTTGGGGGGGGTCCTGGTGTCCCCAGGGAGGTCCCCAGGGTGTCCCTGTGTCTGTGGGGGGGGGTCCTGGTATCCCCAGGGGTGTCCCCAGGGTGTCCCTGTGTCCTTGGAGGGGTTGTCCCGTTGTCCCCAGGGGGTTCCCCAGAGCCTGGAGGGGGGAGGGGGGGACGTGCCCCCTCCTGGGGTGCCCCTGTCCCCGCCCCTCGTGACCCCCTGTCCCCCAGCCCCCGACCAGAAATCCCACCAGATCATCAAGTTTGGGACCAACATCGACCTCTCGGACGCCAAGAGGTGAGGGGGCACCCTGGGGGAGCAGGGGAACCCCTGGGGGCTGGGGAGGGGACCTAGGGCATCCCTGGGGTCTGGAGGGCAGGGACACCCTGGGGGTTGGGGAGGGGGACAGGGGCACCCCTGGGGTCTGGAGGGGGGGCAGGGGCACCCTGGGGAGCACCCTGGGGGGCTGAGGAGGGTCAGGGGAACCCCTGCAGGATGGGGAGGGTCAGGAGCACCCTTGGGTGGGTTCTCACCCCCAGGTGACCCCATAAGTGGGTTCTAGCCCCCATAGGAGGGTCCCAGCCCCTAGATGACCCCACAGGAGGGTCCCAGCCCCCAGGTGACCCCACAGGAGAGTTCCAGCCCCCACAGGAGGGTTCCAGCCCCCAGGTGACCCCATAGGTGGGTCCCAGGCCCCATAGGTGGGTTCTCACCCCCAGCTGACCCCATAGGTGGGTTCCCACCCCCAGGTGACCCCCCCAGTGGGTCTCTGTCCCCATAGGAGGGTTCCCAACCCCCATAAGTGGGCTCCAGCCCCCATAGGAGGGTTCCAGCCCCCAGGTGACCCCATAGGAGGGTCTCAGCCCCCAGGTGACCCCATAGGTGGGTCCCAGCCCCCATAGGAGGGTCCCAGTCCCCAGGTGACCCCCCTGTCCCCCCCCATTCCAGGTGGAAGCCGCAGCTGCAGGAGCTGCTGAAGCTCCCGGCCTTCATGAGGGTCTCGTCCACGGGGAACATGCTGAGCCACGTGGGCCACACCATCCTGGGCATGAACACCGTGCAGCTCTACATGAAAGTGCCCGGCTCCCGCACCCCTGGTGAGCCTGGGGACACCTGGGGACATCTGGGGACACCTGGGACACCTGGGGACACCTGGGGACACCTGGGGACACCTGGGGACATGGAGGGACATGGGGGACACGGGGATACGGGAACAGCTGGGCATGAACACCGTGCAGCTCTACATGAAAGTGCCCGGCTCCCGCACCCCCGGTGAGCCTGGGGACACCTGGGGACACCTGGGGACACCTGGGGACACCTGGGGATGGGGGGGGACATGGGGGGACAGAGGGGACACGGGGACACCTGGGGACACCTGGGGATGGGGGGGGACAGAGGGGACATGGGGACAGCTGGGCATGAACACCGTGCAGCTCTACATGAAAGTGCCCGGCTCCCACACCCCCGGTGAGCTGGGGACACCTGGGGACATCTGGGGACACCTGGGACACCTGGGGACATCTGGGGGGGGACACCTGGGGACACCTGGGGACACCTGGGGACATGGAGGGACATGGGGGACACGGGGATACGGGAACAGCTGGGCATGAACACCGTGCAGCTCTACATGAAAGTGCCCGGCTCCCGCACCCCCGGTGAGCCTGGGGCACCTGGGGACATGGAGGGACACCTGGGGACACCTGGGGATGGGGGGGGACACCTGGGGACACCTGGGGACACCTGGGGACACCTGGGGACATGGGGGACACCTGGGGACACCTGCGGATGGGGGGACATCTGGGACACCTGGGGACACCTGGGGACATGGGGGGACACCTGGGGACACGGGGACAGCTGGGCATGAACACCGTGCAGCTCTACATGAGTGCCCGCTCCCGCACCCCGGTGAGCTGGGGACACCTGGGGACATCTGGGGACATCTGGGGACACCTGGGGATGGGGGGGACACCTGGGGACACCTGGGGACAGGGGGACACCTGGGGATGGGAGGGGACACCTGGAGACACCTGGGGACATCTGGGGACACCTGGGGACACCTGGAGACACCTGGGGACACCTGGGGACACCTGGGGATGGGGGGACACAGAGGGGACATGGGGACACGGGAACAGCTGGGCATGAACACCGTGCAGCTCTACATGAAAGTGCCCGGCTCCCGCACCCCCGGTGAGCCTGGGGACACCTGGGGACACCTGGGGACATCTGGGACACCTGGGGACACTTGGGGACATCTGGGGACATCTGGGGACACCTGGGGATGGAGGGGACATCTGGGACACCTGGGGACAGCTGGGGACACCTGGGGACACCTGGGGATGGGGGGGGACACCTGGAGACACCTGGGGACGGGGGGGCACAGAGGGGACATGGGGACATGGGGACAGCTGGGCATGAACACCGTGCAGCTCTACATGAAAGTGCCTGGCTCCCGCACCCCCGGTGAGCCTGGGGACACCTGGGGACACCTGGGGACACCTGGGGACAGAGGGGACACCTGGGGACACCTGGGGACACGGGGGGACAGAGGGGATATGGGGACAGCTGGGCATGAACACCGTGCAGCTCTACATGAAGTGCCCGGCTCCGCACCCCTGGTGAGCTGGGGACACCTGGGGATGGGGGGACACCTGGGGACACCTGGGGACATGGGGGACATCTGGGGACACCTGGGGACATCTGGGGACACCTGGGGACACCTGGGGATGGGGGGGACACCTGGGGACATCTGGGGATGGGGGGACACAGAGGGATATGGGGACAGCTGGGCATGAACACGGTGCAGCTCTACATGAAAGTGCCCAACTCCCGCACCCCGGTGAGCTGGGGACACCTGGGGACACCTGGGGACACCTGGGGACACCTGGGGACATCTGGGGACACCTGGGGACACCTGGGGATGGGGGGGACACCTGGGGACACTGGGGACATGGGAGGGGACACCTGGGGACACCTGGGGGACGGACACCTGGGGACACCTGGGGATGGGGGGACACCTGGGGACATGGGAGGGGACACCTGGGGACACCTGGAGGGGACACACCTGGGGACACTGGGGGACATGGGAGGGGCACATGGGGACACCTGCAGACAGGGGGTGACAGGAGATGACACGGGGTGATGGGGCGATGGGGTGACAGGAGGTGACAGGGGGGTGACATGAGGTGGCAGGGGGTGACAGGGGTGGCAGTGACAGTGGCAGTGACAGGGGGTGGCAGGGGTGACAGGGGGTGGCAGTGGCAGTGACAGTGGCAGTGACAGGGAGTGACATGAGGTGGCAGGGGGTGACAGGGGGGTGGCAGTGGCAGTGACAGTGACAGTGACAGGGGGTGACATGAGGTGACAGGGGGTGCCAGGGGGGTGGCAGTGGCAGTGACAGGGGGTGACAGGGGGGTGGCAGTGCCAGTGGCAGTGGCAGTGACAGGGGATGGCAGGGGGTGACGGGGTGGCAGTGGCAGTGACAGGGGGTGGCAGTGGCAGTGACAGCGGGGTGTCCCTCGCAGGCCACCAGGAGAACAACAACTTCTGCTCGGTGAACATCAACATCGGCCCCGGCGACTGCGAGTGGTTCGCGGTGCACGAGCACTACTGGGAGACCATCTCGGCCTTCTGCGACCGGTGAGGGGGAGGGAGAGGGCAGGGGAGGGGCTGGAGTGAAAGGGGAGGGGCTGGAATGAAAGGGGAGGGGCTGGAAGGAAAGGGAGGGGCTGGAATGAAAGGGGAGGGGCTGGAATGAAAGGGGAGGGGCCTGGAATGAAAGGGAGGGGCTGGAGGAAAGGAGGGGCTGGAATGAAAGGGGAGGGGCTGGAATGAAAGGGAGGGGCCTGGGAAAAGGGAGGGGCCTGAGGAAGAAAGGAGGGGCTGGAATGAAAGGGAGGGGCTGGAATGAAAGGGGAGGGGCTGGAAGGAAAGGGGAGGGGCTGGAATGAAAGGGAGGGGTTGGAGGAAAGGGGAAGGGTCAGAGTTAAAGGGGAGGGGTCTGGGGAGGGTCTGTAGTGAAAGGGGAGTGACCTGGGAAAAGGGAAGGGAACTGGGAAAAGGGGAGGGGGCTGGGAAAATGGGAGGGGGCTGGGAAAATGGGAGGGGGTTGCAGAAAAGGGAAGGGGTCTGGAGTATAAGGGGGAGGGTCTGTAGTAAAAAGGGTGGGGGGTCTGTGTGGGGGGGCAGTGCTGGTGCTGGGAGGGGGGATCTGCAGCCAGAGGGGGGCGTGGCCGAAAGGAAAAAGGGGCGTGGCTGTCTCTGACCACGCCCCCCTCCCAGGCACGGCGTGGACTACCTGACGGGCTCGTGGTGGCCCATCCTGGAGGATCTTTACCGCTCCAACATCCCCGTGTACCGCTTCGTGCAGCGCCCCGGGGACCTGGTGTGGATCAACGCCGGCACCGTGCACTGGGTGCAGGCCACGGGCTGGTGCAACAACATCGCCTGGAACGTGGGGCCTCTCACCGGTGAGGGGACACTGGGGACACTGGGGACACAGGGGACATGGGGTGGACACTGGGGGAACATAGGGGACACTGGGGACAGGCACTGGGGACACTGGGGACACTGGGGACACGGGGACAGGCACTGGGTGCAGGCCACGGGCTGGTGCAACAACATCGCCTGGAACGTGGGGTCCCTCACCGGTGAGGGGACACTGGGGACACTGGGGACACTGGGGACACTGGGACAGGCACTGGGGACACTGGGGACACGGGGACAGGCACTGGGTACAGGCCACGGGCTGGTGCAACAACATCGCCTGGAACGTGGGGCCCCTCACTGGTGAGGGGACACTGGGGACACTGGGGACACTGGGACAGGCACTGGGGACACTGGGGATGTGGGGGGGACACTGGGACAGGCACTGGGGACACTGGGGACACGGGGACAGGCACTGGGTGCAGGCCACGGGCTGGTGCAACAACATCGCCTGGAACGTGGGGCCTCTCACTGGTGAGGGCACAGGGGGACACTGGGGACATGGAGACAGGCACTGGGGACACTGGGGACACTGGGACAGGCACTGGGGACACTGGGGACATGGGGACAGGCACTGGGACAGGCACTGGGGACACTGGGGACACGGGGACAGGCACTGGGTGCAGGCCACGGGCTGGTGCAACAACATCGCCTGGAACGTGGGGCCTCTCACTGGTGAGGGCACAGGGGGACACTGGGGACATGGAGACAGGCACTGGGGACACTGGGGACACAGGGACAGGCACTGGGGACACTGGGGACACTGGGGACACGGGGACGGGCACTGGGTGCAGGCCACGGGCTGGTGCAACAACATCACCTGGAACGTGGGGCCCCTCACTGGTGAGGGGACACTGGGGACACTGGGGACACTGGGGACACTGGGACGGGCACTGGGGACACTGGGGACACTGGAGACATGGGGACAGACACTGGGGACATGGGGACAGACACTGGGGACACTGGGGACACTGGGACAGGCACTGGGGACACTGGGGACACTGGGGACACTGGGGACACGGGGACAGGCACTGGGTGCAGGCCATGGGCTGGTGCAACAACATCGCCTGGAACGTGGGGCCTCTCACTGGTGAGGGGACACTGGGGGCACTGGGGGGACACTGGGGACACTGGGGACATGGGGGGGACACAGGGACAGGCACTGGGGACACTGGGGACACTGGGACAGGCACTGGGAACACTGGGGACACTGGGACACTGGGGACATGGGGTGGACACTGGGGGAACATAGGGGACACTGGGGACACTGGGACAGGCACTGGGGACACTGGGGACACTGGAGACATGGGGACAGACACTGGGGACATGGGGACAGACACTGGGGACACTGGGGACACTGGGACAGGCACTGGGGACACTGGGGACACTGGGGACACGGGGACAGGCACTGGGTGCAGGCCACGGGCTGGTGCAACAACATCGCCTGGAACGTGGGGCCTCTCACCGGTGAGGGGACACTGGGGACACTGGGGACACTGGGACAGGCACTGGGGACACTGGGGACACGGGGACAGGCACTGGGTGCAGGCCACGGGCTGGTGCAACAACATCACCTGGAACGTGGGGCCCCTCACTGGTGAGGGGACACTGAGAGCACTGGGGACACTGGGACAGGCACTGGGGACACTGGGGACACTGGGACAGGCACTGGGGACACTGGGGGGACATGGGGACAGGCACTGGGTGCAGGCCACGGGCTGGTGCAACAACATCGCCTGGAACGTGGGGCCTCTCACTGGTGAGGGGACAGGGGGACACTGGGGACACTGGGGGGACACTGGGACAGGCACTGGGGACACTGGGACATGGGGACATGGGGACAGGCACTGGGGACACTGGGGACACAGGGACAGGCACTGGGTGCAGGCCACGGGCTGGTGCGACATCGCCTGGAACGTGGGGCCTCTCACTGGTGAGGGGACACTGGGGACACTGGGGGGACACTGGGACAGGCACTGGGGACACTGGGGACATGGGGACAGGCACTGGGGACACTGGGGACACTGGGACAGGCACTGGGGACACTGGGGACACGGGGACAGGCACTGGGTGCAGGCCATGGGCTGGTGCAATATCACCTGGAACGTGGGGCGTCTCACTGGTGAGGGGACAGGGGGACACTGGGGACACTGGGACAGGCACTGGGGACACTGGGGACATGGGGACAGGCACTGGGGACACTGGGGACACGGGGACAGGCACTGGGGACACTGGGGACATGGGGACAGGCACTGGGTGCAGGCCACGGGCTGGTGCAACAACATCGCCTGGAACGTGGGGCCTCTCACTGGTGAGGGGACAGGGGTACACTGGGGGGGACACTGGGGACCCTGGGGGGACACTGGAGGGGACACTGGGGACAGGGGACATGGGGACAGGCACTGGGGACACTGGGGACACTGGGGACACTGGGGACACTGGGGACATGGGGACAGGCACTGGGTGCAGGCCACGGGCTGGTGCAACAACATCGCCTGGAACGTGGGGCCCCTCACTGGTGAGGGGACAGGGGGACACTGGGGACACTGGGACAGGCACGAGGGACACTGGGGACACTGGGACAGGCACTGGGGACACTGGGGACACGGGGACAGGCACTGGGTGCAGGCCACGGGCTGGTGCAACAACATCGCCTGGAACGTGGGGCCTCTCACTGGTGAGGGGACACTGGGGACACTGGGGACACTGGGACAGGCACTGGGGACACTGGGACAGGCACTGGGGACACTGGGGACACTGGGGACACTGGGAGGGGACACTGGGGACACTGGGGGAACATAGGGTACATGGGGACAGGCACTGGGTGCAGGCCACGGGCTGGTGCAACAACATCACCTGGAATGTGGGGCCTCTCACTGGTGAGGGGACACTGGGGACATGGGGACAGGCACTGGGGACACTGGGGACACTGGGGACACTGGGGACATGGGAGGGACACTGAGGGGACACTGGGGACACAGGGACAGGCACTGGGGACACTGGGGGAACATAGGGTACACTGGGGACAGGCACTGGGTGCAGGCCACGGGCTGGTGCAACACGCCTCGACCGTGGGGGACACTGTGAGGGACACTGGAGACACTCGACATGGGACACTGAGAGGGACACTGGGGACACACTGGGGACATGGGGACAGGCACTGGGGACACTGGGGGGACACTGGGGACATGGGGGGGACACTGGGGACATGGAGACAAGGACATGGGACACAGGAGCCACGAGGGTCATGGGGACAGACATGGGCACACTGGAGGACATGGAGTGATTTGGGGACACGGGGACATGGCAGGGACAACCTCCCCTGGCACCTGGGGCCCCTCAGGGGTGAGGGGACAGGGGGACATCGGTGGGGACAATGGGGGGAGGAGGGGGCACAACAAGGGGGACACAGCAGGGACATGGAGGGGACAGAGGAGGGGTCCCAGGGAGGGGCCACCCCACGGGTGGGTGACCCCGGTGACGTCCCCGCTGTCCCCTCAGCCTACCAGTACCAGCTGGCCCTGGAGCGCTACGAGTGGAACGAGGTGAAGAACGTCAAGTCCATCGTGCCCATGATCCACGTGTCCTGGAACGTGGCCAGGACCGTCAAGATCAGCGACCCCGACCTCTACAAGATGATCAAGTGAGGGGGGGACACAGGGGGGACACGGAGGGGACACAGAGGGGAGGGACATTTGGGGACGTGGATGGGGTGGGGACACAGGAATGGGGACAGGGACATGGGGGGACATGGGTGGACATGGGGAGGACACGGGAGGAGCGTGGAGGGAAGGGGGACGTGGGCAGGGGAGGGACATTTGGGGACGTGGATGGGGTGGGGGACACAGGAATGGGGACAGGGACACGGGGGGACAGGTGGGGACAAAGGGACAGGGACAGGGCAGGAGGACACACCAAGACAGGGACAGGGCAGGGGACATGGACAGGGAGGGGACATTGACATGTGGGGGTGGGGACACGGGGACAGGGACAGGGATGGGCGTTAGGGGGTGTCCGTGGGTGTGGATGGTGTTGATGGGTGACAGTGGGTGACAGTGAGTGTTGATGGGTGACAGTGAGTGTTGATGGGTGACAGAGGGTGACAGCAGGTGCCACTGTCCCTGGTGCCAGTGTCCCTGCAGTGGGTGACAGCAGGTGACTGTTGGTGTCAGTAGATGACTGTGGGTGTCTGTCAGTGGGTGTTGGGTGTCAGTGGGTGTCAGTGGGTGACTGTGGGTGTCAGTGGGTGCCAGCAGGTGCTGGCAGGTGACAGCAGGTGACTGTTGGTGTCAGTGGGTGCCAGCAGGTGCTGGCAGGTGACAGCAGGTGACTGTGTGTGTCAGTGGGTGCCAGCAGGTGCTGGCAGGTGACAGCAGGTGACTGTGGGTGTCAGTGGGTGTCAGTAGGTGACAGAGGGTGCCAGCAGGTGACAGCAGGTGACTGTGGGTGCCAGTGGGTGTCAGTGGGTGTCAGTAGGTGTCAGTAGGTGCCAGCAGGTGCCAGCAGGTGACAGCAGGTGTCACTGGGTGTCAGTGGGTGCCAGTGGGTGACTGTGGGTGTCAGTGGGTGTCAGTGGGTGACAGCAGGTGACTGTGGGTGTCAGTAGATGTCAGTGAGTGTCAGTGGGTGTCAGTGGGTGTCACTGGGTGTCAGTGGGTGCCAGCAGGTGCCAGCAGGTGACTGCGGGTGTCAGTGGGTGTCAGTGGGTGCCAGCAGGTGCCAGCAGGTGCCAGCAGGTGAGGTGACAGCAGGTGACAGCAGGTGCCAGCAGGTGACAGTGGGTGACAGCAGGTGACAGCAGGTGCCAGCAGGTGAGGTGCCAGCGCTGTCCCGTGCAGGTACTGCCTGCTGCAGTCCATCAAGCACTGCCAGGTGCAGCGCGAGAGCCTCGTGCGGGCGGGCAAGAAAATCGCCTACCAGGGCCGGGTGAAGGACGAGCCGGCCTACTACTGCAACGAGTGTGACGTGAGTGGGGGCTGGACGTGCCCTGGGGGGATCCTGACACAGCCTGGGGGGGTCCTGCCATGGCCTGGGGGGTCCTGCCACAGCCTGGGGGCTCCTGCCATGCCCTGGGGGGCTCCTGCCACGGCCTGGGGGGTCCTGCCACACCCTGGGGGCTCCTGCCATGCCCTCAGTGTCCCCTCGGCCACGGGATCCCCTGGGCTGTGCCGCTGGCCATGGCTGTGGGAAGGCACTGGGCATGGAGTGTCCCTTGTTGTGTCATTGGCCACAGCTTTGGGGAGATGTTGGCCATGGTTCCAGCGGTGCCCTTGCCCAAGGGGTGCCCTTGGCTGTTCCCTCACCCATCCCCAAGCCATTCCCTGGGCTGTTCCCTGGGCTGTTCTGTCACCCATTCCCTGCCCCATTCCCTGGTGCTGTCCCCACAGGTGGAGGTGTTCAACATCCTGTTCGTGACGAGCCCATTCCCTGCCCCATTCCCATTCCCTGGCTGTTCCCATTCCCATTCTTTGTGTCCCCGCAGGTGGAGGTGTTCAACATCCTGTTTGTGACGAGCCCATTCCCTCTCCCATTCCCATTCCCTGCCCCATTCCCCATTCCCTGGTGCTGTCCCCACAGGTGGAGGTGTTCAACATCCTGTTCGTGATGAGCCCATTCCCTGTCCCATTCCCATTCCCTGGTGCTGTCCCCGCAGGTGGAGGTGTTCAACATCCTGTTCGTGACGAGCGAGACGGGCGGGCGGAACACGTACCTGGTGCACTGCGAGGGCTGCGCCCGGCGCCGCGCGGGCGGCCTGGCCGGCGTCGTCGTCCTCGAGCAGTACAAGACGGAGGAGCTCATGCAGATCTACGACGGCTTCACCCTGGTACTGCACACCTGGGGCACACCTGGGACACCTGGGGGGGCAAGGGGACACCAGGGGGCAAGGGGGGGACACCTGGGGCAGAGGGGACACAACTGGGGACACCTGGACCAAGGAGCTCATGCAGATCTACGACGGCTTCACCCTGGTACTGCACACCTGGGGCACACCTGGGGCACCTGGGGCACCTGGGGGGCATGGGGGGCATGGGGGGGACACCTGGGCTAGGGGGGACACAACTGGGGCAGAGGGGACAGAACTGGGGACACCTGGACCGAGGAGCTCATGCAGATCTACGACGGCTTCACCCTGGTACTGCACACCTGGGGCACCTGGGGCACCTGGGGGCACACCTGGGGGGCATGGGGGCACCTGGGGGCATACCTGGGCTGGGGGGGACACAACTGGGGACACTTGGACCAAGGAGCTCATGCAGATCTACGACGGCTTCACCCTGGTACTGCACACCTGGGGCACCTGGGGGCACACCTGGGACACCTGGGGGGCATGGGGGGGACACCTGGGCTGGGGGGGACACAACTGGGGCAGAGGGGACACAACTGGGGACACCTGGACCGAGGAGCTCATGCAAATCTATGACAGCTTCACCCTGGTACTGCACACCTGGGGCACACCTGGGGCACCTGGGGGCACACCTGGGGCACCTGGGGGGCATGGGGGGGACACCTGGGGCAGAGGGGACACAACTGGGGACACCTGGACCGAGGCGCTCATGCAGATCTATGATGGCTTCACCCTGGTACTGCACACCTGGGGCACACCTGGGACACCTGGGGGCACACCTGGGGGGCATGGGGGGCACACCTGGGCTGGGGGGGACACCTGGGGCAGAGGGGACACAACTGGGGACACCTGGACCAAGGAGCTCATGCAGATCTACGACGGCTTCACCCTGGTACTGCACACCTGGGGCACACCTGGGGCACCTGGGGGGGCAAGGGGACACCAGGGGGGACACCTGGGACACCTGGGGGGCACTGGGGGGACACCTGGGGCAGAGGGGACACAACTGGGGACACCTGGGGGGACACCTGGGACACCTGGGGACAAAACTGGGGACAGCTGGAGGGGACTTGGGACACCTGGGACACCTGGGATACCTTGGGGAACACCTGGGGCAGGGGACAGCTGGGGACACCTCGGGTGGGGGGACATCTGGGGACACACCTGGCACAGAGGGGACTCCTGGGGACACTCTGGGCTGGGGACACACCTGGGGACACACCTGGTTTGGGGGTGACACCTGGGGTGGGGACACACCTTGGGGACACACCTTGTACACACCCCTCCCCAGGTCCCCCTGACTCCCCTTTCTCCCTCCCTCCCCCAGGTGACGCCGCCGACCCCCAGATGAGCCCCTGCCCGGCCCAGGGGGTCCCTGGGCCCCCCCCGAGGGGACACAGCGGGGGGAGGGGGCACAGAGGGGACAGGGGGTCCCCGCCCCTCCCCCCACGAACACTTTTTATTTATTCACGGAGAAATCGCCCCAAAAATCGTCTCTCCCCCCAAACTGTGGGGGACTCGATGGACAGACGCCCCTCCCCACGAGGGGGGAGGGTTTGGGTGGAAAAGCTCCGATTTTATACAAAAATACCGATTTATAGAATTTACAAAGCCCCTCCCCAGCCCCTCCCCTGCCCGTGGGGATGGGGGTCTTTTTCTCCTCCTCCCCCCAATTTGGGGGCCCTGGGGGTCCTGTGTAACTCAGAGGGGTTGGGGAGGAGGGTTCCCTCTGACCCCTCCCCTCATTTTGGGGGTTGTGCCCCCGACACAAAAGGGGCACCCTGGGTCCCGCCCCCTCAGCATTAAGGGGGTTGGGGAGGGGCACTTTTTGGGGGTCTCGACCCCTTGCCAAGATTCAACCAAAACTCGCCCCTCCCCCCATACCAGCCGCCCCTCCCCATACGGGTCCGGGGAGGGGCCCGAAGGGGGTGCATTTTTGGGTGCCCCTCGCCTCCCCTGCCGGGGGCTCAGGTCTCTGAAGGGGGCCTCCCAAACCATGGTGCAAAGGGGGAGGGGCCTGTGCACTCTCCCCCCAAAAGGGGGCAGCAGGAGCCCCTGCAGGGGAGGGGCCTTGGGTGCCCCTCCCCACCCCCTCCCCGAGCCTCTTTTTCATTTTGGTTTTTTTGTAAATGATCTTTTTCTTCTTTTTTTTCCTCTTTTTAATTTATACACCGGGGGAGGGTCGCTTTATTTATTGGGGGTCGGGCCGGGGTCCCTGACTCTCGGGGAGGGAGTGGTCTGGGGGTTAAGGGTGACCCGGGTGACTTCCCATGCCCCCATCACCCGGTGACCCCTGACCTTGGGGAGGGGAGGGTTGTGCCCCTGCTCCCCACCCCCACCCCCACCATGGTGCTGGGCCCTGCGGCCGCCCCTGCCCTCCCCGTGTCCCTCCCCGCCGCCCCCCGGTGTTTTTGGGGGTGGGGAGGGGCGGGGGCCCCTAGCCCACCCCTCCCCCAGAAGCTATTTTGTACCTGAGATTAAATTAATGGCAAAGCCCGAGCGCTCCTTTTGGGGGAGGGGGTGAAAATTGGGAAGGAGGGCACAGAAATTGGGGAGGGGGCACTGGAAAGTTGGGGGGGGGAGGAACTGAGGGGTCCAGGGATGCGAAATGGGGGAGGGGGAACAGGAGAATGGGGGAGGGGCAGAAATCGGGGAGGGGGCACAGGGGGAGGGCAGGCACAGAGGGGAGGGGGGACAGGAATTGGGGTCTGAGGGAGTGAGGGGGCACAGAGGAGGCAGAATTGGGGGAGGGCAGGAATTGGGGGCTCCTGTCACACAAATGTGGGGGTCACACACAGGAGTCACACGGGGACAACGTGGCTGGGGGGGCTTTAATGGCACCGTGGGGACCCCCCCCAACCCCTGAGCCACGAGGGGGGGCGGTCCCCACATGGATTTGAGGGGGGGGTCTCCTGGGGGAGGGGTCCATCAGGTGCCAGAGGTTCCCTCCCACTCTTGGGGGGTCCATCTGGGGGGTCCATCACGTGTTGGGGGTCTCTGTGGCCCGGGGGTCACTCGGGGTAAGTCCCGCTGTTGGGGGTCCATTTGAGGGTCCCTCGAGGTTTTGGGGGTCCATTTGGGGGTCCCTCGAGGTTTTGGGGGTCCATTTGGGGGTCCCTCGAGGTTTTGGGGGTCCATTTGAGGGTCCCTCAGTTGTTGGGGGTCCATTTGAGGGTCCATCAGATGTTGGGGGTCCCTCCCAGGTAGGGGGTCCATGTGGGGGTCCTTCAGGCATGGGGGGTCCCTCAGGGTTGGTTTCAGGGCTCCATGCGGGGGGTCCCTCGGGGGGAGGGGCTTCATCCAGGGCTCCATCAGGATTTTGGGGGTCCATCTGGGGGTCCCTGGGGGTGTTGGGGATCCATCCAGGGGTCCTTGGGGGTTTCAGGGGTCTGGTGGGGGTTTCTCAGGCACTGGGGATCCATCCAGGGGTCCCTGGGGGTTTCAGGGGTCCCGTGGGGGTCCATCCAGGGGTCCCTCATGGCTTTGGGGGTCCCTCCAGGGGTCCCTCAGGGCTCTGGGGGTCCATCCAGGGGTCCTTCAGGGCTCTGGGGGTCCATCCAGGGGTCCCTCCATCCCCGGGGGTCCCCCCTCAGGGGTAGGGGGGCTCCACCTCGATGGACACGATGTGGTGCCCGGGCACCATGGCCAGGCCCAGCACTCGGGGTTCGCTGCCCGGGAAGGCGTCTGGGGGGGGAAGGAAAAGGGGGGCAAAAAGGGGGTCAGGACCCTCCCAGGATGGGGGTCCTGGCTGTCCAGACCCCCCAAAACCACCCCAGAGCCCCCCATAAACCCCCCACCCTCCCTTTCCAGCTGAGCCCGCGATCCCTTTGCTGTGACAGAGCATAGAACACTCCCACCCCCCCAGAGACCCCAAAACCCTCCAAGCCCCCCAGAGCCCCCTTAGAGATCCCCATAACCCCCCAGTGACCCCCTAGAGCCCCCATAACCCCTCCCATGACCCCAGACCCCCTGGACCACTCGGCCTTGAGGAATTCCCGAGCCATTCCCAGGATCCCCTGATCCTGATCCTGATGCCAGGGCACAGGGACACTCCCACCCCCACTTAGCCCCCATAGCCCCCAGTGACACCTCAGACCCCCGGACCCGCGGCCTTGAGGAACTCCTGTGCCGAGCCCAGGATGACGTTGCTCTGCCGGTCCGTGCACAGAAAGGCCCCCACGAGGGTCCTCCCGTCCGACATTCGGATCCGCAGGCTGCGGTTCAGAAGCGCCTCGAGGCGCTGCCGCTCGAGGGCCCGAGACCCCGCCCGGGCTCCTGGGGGATAAAGGGAGGGTGAGACCGAAACCCCCACCACGAGCACCTCCGGCACTCCTAGCGCTCTCACCCCGTTCCTGCTGCCCCCAACCCCGTCCCTGCGACCCCCCCAGAGCCTCCGAGACCCCAAACACACCCTGGGATCCCTCAGCCCCACCGAGATCCCCCATAAATCCCCCATGATAGCCTCTCCCGGCCCCCAAAGACTCCCCAGGCCCCTCACTCAGCCCCGGCCCCAGAGATCCCCAGACCCCTCACTCACCCCCGGGCCCCCAAAGCCCCTCCCTGGACCCCTCACTCACCCCCGGACCCCCAGAGACCCCCCGGACCCTCACTCACAGCTGGACCCCAGAGACCCCCAAAGACCCCCGGACCCCTCACTCACCCCCGGGCCCCCAAAGCCCCTCCTGGACCCCTCACTCACCGCCAGGCCCCCAAAGCTTCCCCCTCGGACCCCTCACTCACCGCTGGACCTCCAGAGACCCTCAAAGCCCCCGGACCCCCACTCCCCGGACCTCACTCACCGCCGGCCCCCAGACCCCTCACTCACCCCCGGACCCCCACTCACCGCCTGCCCCCGAGACCCCTCACTCACGGCCGGGCCCCCTAGAGCCCCACTCACCCCGGACCCCAGAGACCCCCGAGCCCCAGGCCTCACTCACCGCCGGGTCGCCCCCTCCGCCGCCCCCCGCCTCTACCGGCGGTTCCGCCATGATGGCGCCGCTTCCCGGCGTGCCCCGCGGGAAACGCCTACAACTCCCGGCATGCCCCGCGCGCCGTTACCGGCAATGGCGGAGGCGGAATCACGAACTACAACTCCCGGCATGCCCCGCGCGCCGTTACCGGCAACGGCGGAGGGGGAACCACGAACTACAACTCCCGGCGTGCCCCGCGCGCCGTTAACCGCAATGGTGGAACCGGGACCGTGAACTACAACTCCCGTCATGCCCCGCGCGTCCCCGGGGCGCAGCTTCCGCTGTTGCCATGGCGACGGGCGGCGCAGGCCCGGCCTGGGGGCCCCTGAGAGGTGCCCGGGGGACCCCGGGGCGGGGGGCTCATGAGGGACTGAGGGGGTCCCGGAGGTCGAGGGGCTGGGAAGTCGGGATCCCCCAAATTAGGGACTCAATGACCCCTCCACACATTGGGGTCACCAGAACCCCCCAGTGTCGAGGGTCCCTCTTGGTGGGGTGGAGTTCTTTGAAGGGGGTCTCTGTCCCCAAGGGGGTCCCTCATCATCCTTTTGGGGGTCTCGCCCACCCCCGTTCTGGGGGTGCTGAGACCCCCAACGCCCCCAGCACCCCTAAACCCCCTGCCCTCCCCAACCCCCCAGCCCCCAGCCCCTAGCCCCCAGCACCCCTAAGCCCCTGCCCTCCTCCCAACCCCCTCAGCCCCTCAGCCCCAGCCTCCCCAGCCCCGCTGGGACATCGAGCGTTGACACTGGGAGTTTGAGGGTCCCCCCTCCGATTTTGGGGGCAAATCACAACTTTTCTCGAGCCAAAATAAACCGGATTTTGTCACAACCAGACCCAGCAAAGCCTTGGGGGGGAAGGGGGGGGACAGGGGGACCCTCCCTGGGGACACCCCCAGCTGTGGGGTGACAGTGTGGGGGGGGCATCACTCTGTGTCACCCCCTCGATGTCCCCAAGTGTCCCCAGGGGTGGCAGTGACATCGTCCCCCCCAGGGGGTGGCACAGCTTTAATGTCCCCAGGTGTCCCTCAGGTGTCCCCAGGTGTCCCTCAGGTGTCCCTCGGGTGTCCCCAGGTGAGGGTGGCACAGCCTCGGTGTCCCCTGGGTGACAGGTGACACTGCCCCCCCCGGGGGGGTGACAGCAGGTGACAATGGTGGCACCAGCCCCTGTCCTGTCCCCTGTCCCCTGGGCTGTGTCCCCAGCACGGTGACCTGATGCCACCCTGGAGCACTGGGGTGTCCCCCTGTCTTTCTGTGTCACCTGTCCGTGTGTCTGTGTGTGACCTGTCCATGTCACCTGTGTCACTTGTCCGTGTCACCTGTCCGTGTCCAGCTGTCCGGGTCTTGTTGTGTCACCAGTTCATGTCACCTATCCATGTCCCCTGTCTGTGTCACCTGTCCCTGTTTGTGTCCCCTGTCCGTGTCCCCTGTCCTGTCCCCTGTCCCTTGTCCTGTCCCCTGTCCCTGTCCCGTTTGTGTCCCCTGTCCCTATCCCCTGTCCCTGTTTGTGTCCCCTGTCCGTGTCCCCTGTCCTGTCCCCTGTCTGTGTCCCCTGTCCCTGTTTGTGTCCCCTGTCCTATCCCCTGTCCCTTGTCCTGTCCCCTGTCCGTGTCCCCTGTCCCTGTTTGTGTCCCCTGTCCCTGTCCAGCTGTCTTGTCCCCTGTCCCTGTTTGTGTCCCTGTCCCTGTTTGTGTCCCCTGTCCTGTCCCTGTCCCCTGTCCCCTGTCCCTGTCCCTGTTTGTGTCCCCTGTCCCATCCTGTCCCCTGTCCTGTCCCCTGTCCTGTCCCCTGTCCCTGTCCCCTGTCCTGTCCCTGTCCCCTGTTCCTGTCCCCTGTCCCTGTCCCCTGTCCCTGTCCCCTGTCCTGTCCCCTGTCCATGTTCCCTGTCACCTGTCCCATCCCTGTCCCCTGTCCCTGTCCCCTGTCCTGTCCCCTGTCCATGTTCCCTGTCACCTGTCCCATCCCTGTCCCCTGTCCCTGTCCTGTCCCCTGTCCCGTCCTGTCCCTGTCCCCTGTCCCTGTTTGTGTTCCCTGTCCCCTGTCCCTGTCACCTGTCCATGTTCCCTGTCACCTGTCCCTTGCCCGTGTCCCCTGTCCCTGTTTGTGTCACCTGTCCCTGTCCCCTGTCCCTGTCACCTGTCCATGTCCCCTGTCCCCTGTCCTGCCCCTGTTTGTGTCCCCTGTCCTGTCCCCTGTCCCATCCTGCCCATGTCCCCTGTCCTTCCCCTGTCCCATCCTGTCCATGTCCCCTGTCTGTGTCCCCTGTCCCATCCCTGTCCTGTCCCTGTCCCTGTCCAGCTGCCCCCCCCGTCTCCTGCACATCCTCGGTGTCCCCTCAGCTGTCCCCGTGCTGGGGGTGCAGGTGGGGGTGACCCCCCTGTCCCTCCCGGTGTCCCAGCCCGGTGACCCCCCCGTGGGACCCCTGGGGTCACCGTGTCACCCTCCCGGGGTCCCTGGGACTGGGACGGTGACAAAAACACCCCAGGCCCAGGTGACAGTGGGGACACTGGGGGGACGACGCTGTGGGGGACTTGGGGGTCACTGGGGGGGTCTCACGGTGTCACCCCAGGGGTTTGGGGGGGATTTTGGGGTCACTGGGGGGGTCTCACGGTGTCACCCCAGGGGTTTGGGGGGGTTTTGGGGTCACTGGGGGTCTCACGGTGTCACCCCAGGGGTTTGGGGGATTTGGGGTCACTGGGGGGTCTCACGGTGTCACCCCAGGGGTTTGGGAGGATTTTGGGGTCACTGGGGTCTCACAGTGTCACCCCAGGGGTTTGGGGGGTTGGGGTCACTGGGGGTCTCACGGTGTCACCCCAGGGGTTTGGGGGTTTGGGGTCACTGGGGGTCTCACGGTGTCACCCAGGGGGTTGGGGGGGTTTTGGGGTCATTGGGGGTCTCACAGGGAGGTTGGGCCAACAACCACCAGTGGGTTTGGGGTGAAAAAAACCCCAAAATGGGGGGCAAAAAACTCCACCCAAAATGGGGGGAGGACACCACAAAAACGGCCCCCAAAAAGCCCAAACTTTGAGGGTTTTCTGGGGTTTTTTTAAGCCCATTTTATATCATTTTACAAATCTGCTGCCCCAACGTGTCAGCCCAGCACTTTGGGGCAAAAAAGTCCCAAAAAAGGAGCAGGAGGGGGGAAAAAAAAGGGTCAGAGCTCTTTCAAACTTTCCCCTTTCTTTTGCAATCTTTTTTCTTCTTTTTCAACCTTTTTTTCCCCTCTTTTTCCTTCCATCTTTTTTTCCTTTTTAATATTTTCCCCCTTTTCAATCTTTTTTTTTCTAATTTTCATTCCTTTCTGAATATTTTCACCTATTTTTACGTTTCTGCCCTTTTTCATCCTTTTTCTATTTTAATCTTATTTTCCAATCTTTTTTCCTTTTTCGCCCTTTTTGAATATTTTTCTCCATTTAATTTTTTTTTTCCTTTTTCCTTTCTTCCCTCTTTCAACCATTTCCCCCTTTTTTATCCATTTGGATTATTTTCCCTCTTTTACATTTTGAATCTTTTCTTCCTCATTCAACCTTTTTTCCTTTTTTAAACCTTTCTTTCTTTCTCAGTCTTTTTCTCTCTTCACGTTTTAAAATCTCTTTTTTTCAACATTTTTTTATTCCTTTTCATCCTTTTTCTCTTTTTTCAATCTTTTTATTCCTTCCAAATCTTTTCCCCTTTTGCAATCTTTTTGCCCTTTTTCAACCTTTTCCCCCCCCCTTTTCAATCTTTTTGCCCTTTTCCAATCTTTTTTATCCCTTCTCGATATTTTTCCCCTTCTCAATCTTTTTATTCGCCCTTTTTCAATCTTTTTTTCTTTTTCAGTTTTTCCACCCCTTTCCAACCTTTATTCCTTTCCAATCTTTTTTCCCCTTTTTGCCTTTTCATTTTGATTCCTCCCTGCTCTTTTTTTTCCCTTTCCCAACCTTTTTGCTCTTTTTCACTCCCTCCCAATCTTTCCAATCCCTTCTCCGATTTTTTTTTTTAAATCTTTATAAACCTCTCCCCCTTTTTTTTTGTCCTTCCTCCCCTGCAGCCTCGAGAAACTCCAAAAAAAGCAAAAAAAAAAAAAACAAAACAAAACCCCAACAAAACCCAACCCACCAAACCACTCCCTTCCCAAGTATTTCAAAGTCGAGAAGGGAGGGAGAAAGAACAAAAAAAAAACGCCTTTTTTTTTTTATGTGTGTTTAAAATCACTCCGGGGGGGGGAAGGGGAGGAGGAATGGGCGAAAGGGGGGAAAAAACGGGTAAAAATGCCCAAAAAGCAGGCCCCGTGACTAGTATGGAACTAGTTAACCTTTAACAATTTATGCTGATGTCACACTGAGCATGAGTAGTGATTAATCCCCCCCCGAAATATTTTTATGGAAGGGGAGGGGGGGGGGAAGTATAAGGAGAAAGAGAGGAAAAAAAAAAAAAAAAAAAAGGCAGAAAAAGAAATAATTTACCGCAGCCATCTTTGTTTTAAGGCAGAAAAAAAAATCCTTCGCCTTCGGGTCCCCCCCGGCCGGGGCCACCCAAATATTGGCCCGAGCCGAGCCGGGATCTGCGGGGAAGAGAAAAGATCATTCCTGAGGCCCCCCAAACGCACCCCAAAACCCCCGAAAAATGAGCAAAATGAGGATTATTCGCCTGCTCGGGCTGTAGCGGCGAGGGGGGGGGGAAGGGGGGGAGAAGGCTTTGAGATTTATTATTTTTAGGTGTTTCAGGGGGTTTATTTGGATTTTTTTATTGTTTTTTAAGGAGTCTTATTTTTCACGGTTCTTGTTTTTAATGCTTTTTGGTTTTTTTTTTGATTTTTTTTTTTTAAATCTTTGGCTTTTTTTTTTTCACGTTGATTTTTAAGTTTTGGGGTTTTTTCCCCCCCGGCTTTTTAATGTTGATTTTCACCTCTTTTTCCTTTTCAGCCTTTTGAATTTTTCTTGATTTTTTTTTAAGCTTTTCTTCATTCCATTCCCCTTTTTAATTTTGAACGTTATTTTTTTTTTTTTTTTAGCCTTCCTCCTTGGCCATAATAATTCCCAATGTCGATTTTCCCCCTTTCTCTCCCCATCCCTTCCCCCTCTTAAATTTTCATGTCGATTTTTACCCTTTTTTCTTTCCCTTCCTCCCCTTTTCCCCGCCAAGTTTTTCATTTCATCTTTTCCTCTCCCCTCCGTTTTTTTTAATCCCCTTTTTTTTTTTTTCCATCCTCTCCCTTATTCCTCCGATTCCTCCCTTCGACGCTTCCCTTTCCGTTCCTTAAAAAAAAAAAAAAAAAAAATTAATTTTTTAATCCCCCCCCCCCACCACCTCCCTTAACTTCCCCTCCCCCTTTTGTGGGTTGTTTTGTGTGTTTTTTCGGGGCTTTTTTCGCCCTTTTTCGCCTCTTTTCCACCCTCCCCAGGTGCGTGTGGGGCAACTTCCCCAGCCCCTCACTCGGCCATTTTGCGCCTTTTTTTTCCCTGAGGGGGGGCCCCACCCCCCCACTCCCCCATTTTCCCTCATTTTTAACCCCTCCCTTCTCCTTTTTTTTTTTACGCTTCCCCCCCTCCCGGCCTGGTTTTTTTTTTGTTTGTTTTGTGTGGTTTATATTTTTTTTTAATTGTATTATTTTTTTTTTTTTAAGAGGGGAGGGAGGGGGGAGAGAGTTATTTTAAAATTACACCCGGGGCGGCCATTTTCGCTGCCGGCGCCGTCCCGCCGCCCGCCGCCTCCCGCGCCCTGAGGCGATTTTAACCGATCCGGCGCTTTTTCGCCCCATCGCCGCCGCCCCCCCCGCGCCCCCCGCGCGGCCCCGCCGGGTCCCGGCCCTGGGGCTCGCCCCGTCCGCCCCCTGATCCGCGCCGCGGAGGCGGTTTGGGGCGGTGGGAGCGGCGCGCGCCGAGGGTCCCCCGGCCCCCGCCCTCACCCCGCCATGGCGTCCCCGCTGAGGAGGACGAGGAGGAGGAGGAGGAGATGGCGGTGTCCGAGGGGGACGAGGAGGACGACGACGAGGAGGACGACGAGGAGGAGGAGGAGGAAGACGCCGCCGCCGCCGCCGCCGCCGCCGCCGCGCTCCTGGCCGGGCACCGCGGGGCCCCCGACATCTTCCCCGGGCCGGCCCCGGCCCCGCCGCCGCTGCCGCCGCCGCCGCCGCCCCCCGCGCCCGTCGCTGCTGCCGCCGCCGCCGCCGCTGCTGTCCAGGGGCCGCCGGAGGCGCCCGCAGGTACCGCTGGGACCCCTCGGGCCACCCTCGGTCACCTCCGCCCCCACCCTGAGCCCTCAGCGCTTCCCGCAGGCACCGAGACCTCCGATCCGCCCCCCGGTCCCCTCAGACCGAGACCCGATCCGCTCCCCAGTCCCCTCAGAGCTTCCCGCAGGCACCGAGACCTCCGATCTGCCCCCCGGTCCCCTCAGAGCTTCCCGCAGACACCGAGACCCCCGATCTGCTCCCTCCGTCCCTCAGACCGAGACCCGATCCGCTCCCCAGTCCCCTCAGACCTTCCCGCAGACACCGAGACCCCCGATCCGCCCCCCGGTCCCCTCAGACCTTCCCGTAGGTATCGCGACCCCTGATCCGCTCCGTCCGTCCCTCAGACCTTCCCGCAGGCACCGAGACCCCGATCTGCCTCCCCGTCCCTCAGACCTTCCTGCAGGCACCGGGATCCCCTGAGCCCCCTCCCCGTCCCTCAGACCTTCCCGCAGGCACCGAGACCCCCGATCCGCCCCCACTCCCCTCAGACCTTCCTGCAGGCACCGAGACCCCGACCCCCTCACCACTCCCTCAGACCTTCCCGGGGCCGCCGGAGGCGCCCGCAGGTACCGGGGTCCCTCGACTCCCGAGCATCCCCACTCCATCAGAGCTTCCGAGACCCCCGAGCTCTCCCCGGGTTCCCTCAGACCTTCCTGCAGGCACCGGGACCCCCGATGTGCTCCCCCCATCCCTCAGACCTTCCTGCAGGCACCGAGACCCCTGAGCTCGAGACCCCCGAGCTCTCCCCGGGTCCCCTCAGAGCTTCCCGCAGGCACCGGGACCCCCGATCTGCTCCCCATTCCCTCAGATCCTTCCCATGGGCACCGAGCCCTCAGTCACCCCTCGTCCCCTCAGAGCTTCCCACAGGCACCGGAGACCCCCCGAGACCCCCCACTCCCTCAGAGCTTCCCACAGATACCGGGACCCCACGAGACCCCCCCAGTCCCCTCAGAGCTTCCTGCAGGGACCGGAGACCCTCTGAGACCCCCAAGTCCCCCCAGTCCCTCAGAGCTTTCCACAGGGACAGGAGACCCCCGATGTGCCCCCTCGGTGCCCTCAGCGCTCCCACCACACTGGCCGGGGGTTTGGGGGAGTTGTGTGTTTGTAAACAACCGAATCCCCCCGAGTGTCCCCACGTGTGTCCCTCGGTGTGTGTGTGGGGACACCCCCTGCCCCACATCCCCCCGCTCGGGCACGGGACCCCACGGGTGGGGGGTGATGGGGGCAGATGGTCCCCTGACAGGGCCCAGGATGGGTGTGGGGTGATAGGGCTGTAGGAACCTGACAGGACCCCAACACATGTGGGGTGATGGGGCTGTGCTTCTGACAGGACCCCAACACATGTGGGGTAATGGGGTTGTTGTGCTTCTGACAGGACCCCAACACATGTGGGGTGATGGGGCTGTGCTCCTGACAGGACCCCAACAGATGTGGGGTGAGGGGGCTGTAGGTACCTGACAGGACCCCAACAGATGTGGGGTGATGGGGCTGTAGGTACCTGGCAGGACCCCAACAGATGTGGGGTGATGGGGTTGCTGTGCTTCTGACAGGACCTGAACAGATGTTAGGTACCTGGCAGGACCCGAACACATGTGGGGTGATGGGGCTGTGCTCCTGACAGGACCCCAACAGATGTGGGGTGATGGGGCTGTAGGAACCTGACAGGACCCCAACAGATGTGGGGTGATGGGGCTGTAGGCTCCTGACAGGACCCGAACACATGTGGGGTGATGGGGCTGTTGTGCTCCTGACAGGACCCCAACACATGTGGGGTGACGGGGGCAGATGGTCCCCTGACAGGGCCCAGGATGGGTGTGGGGTGATGGGGCTGTAGGTACTTGACAGGACCCGAACACATGTGGGGTGAGGGGGCTGTTGTGCTCCTGACAGGACCTGAACAGATGTGGGGTGATGGGGCTGTAGGTACCTGACAGGACCCCAACAGATGTGGGGTGATGGGGCTGTAGGAACCTGACAGGACCCCAGCAGATGTGGGGTGATGGGGCTGTTGGATACCTGACAGGGCCCAGATGGGTGTGGGGTGATGGGGCTGTGCTCCTGACAGGACCCCAACACATGTGGGGTGATGGGGCTGTGCTCCTGACAGGACCCCAACACATGTGGGGTGATGGGGCTGTTGGATACCTGACAGGGCCCAGGATGGGTGTGGGGTGATGGGGTTGTTGTGCTCCTGACAGGACCTGAGCAGATGTGGGGTGATGGGGCTGTGCTCCTGACAGGACCCCAACAGCTGTGGGGTGATGGGGCTGTAGGTACCTGACAGGACCCCAACACATGTGGGGTGATGGGGCTGTTGTACTCCTGACAGGACCCCAACAGATGTGGGGTGATGGGGTTGTTGTGCTTCTGACAGGACCTGAGCAGATGTGGGGTGATGGGGTTGTTGTGCTTCTGACAGGACCTGAACAGATGTGGGGTGATGGGGCTGTGCTTCTGACAGGACTCGAACAGATGTGGGGTGATGGGGCTGTGCTGACAGGACTCGAACAGATGTGGGGTGATGGGGCTGTGCTCCTGACAGGACCTGAACAGATGTGGGGTGATGGGGCTGTGCTGACAGGACCTGAACAGATGTGGGGTGATGGGGCTGTGCTCCTGACAGGACCCAGGATGGGTATGGGGTGATGGGGCTGTACTCCTGACAGGACCCCAACAGCTGTGGGGTGATGGGGCTGTAGGTACCTGACAGGACCCCAACACATGTGGGGTGATGGGGCTGTTGTGCTCCTGACAGGACCTGAGCAGATGTGGGGTGAGGGGACTGTAGGTACCTGACAGGACCCCAGCAGATGTGGGGTGATGGTGCTGTTGGTCCCCTGGCAGGCCCCAGGGTGGCTGTTGCACCCCATGGTGGGGGCAGTGGGGGCTGTTGGTCCCCTGCCAGGCCCCAGGGTGGGTGCTGACCCCATGATGGGGGCAGTGGGTGCTGTTGGTCCCCTGGCAGGAGTTTGGGGTGGGTGCTGACCCCATGGTGGGGGCAGTGGGTGCTGTTGGTCCCCTGGCAGGAGTTTGGGGTGGGTGCTGACCCCATGGTGGGGGCAGTGGGTGCTGTTGGTCCCTGGCAGGACCCAGGGTGGGTGCTGCACCCCGGGGTGTGGGGTGTGGGGTGTGGGGTGGCACGTGCCTGACAGGACCTGGAGTGGTTGTGACAGCCCCTCACAGGGGGCAGGGCGTGGTGGTGACCCCCTGACAGGACCAGGGTGGGCACTGTGGGGCAGTGACCCCCTGACAGGACCCAGGGTGGGCACTGTGGGGCAGGGGGTGCCTGACAGGACCTGAACAGATGTGAGGTGATGGGGCTGTTGGATACCTGACAGGACCCAGGATGGTTGTGGGGTGATGGGACCTGGCTCAGGACCTGACAGGACATGACAGGACCTGACCAGATGTTGGATACCTGACAGGACCTGAACAGCTGTGGGGTGATGGGGTTGTTGGATACCTGACAGGACCCGAACAGCTGTGGGGTGATGGGGTTGTTGTGCTCCTGACAGGACCCAGGATGGTTATGGGGTGATGGGACCTGGCTCAGGACCTGACAGGACCCCAACACATGTGGGGTGATGGGGTTGTTGTGCTCCTGACAGGACCCAGGATGGTTATGGGGTGATGGGACCTGGATCAGGACCTGACAGGACCTGAACAGCTGTGGGGTGATGGGGCTGTAGGATACCTGACAGGACCTGAACAGATGCTGGGTACCTGACAGGATCCAGGATGGTTGTGGGGTGATGGGCCCTGTCTCAGGACCTGACAGGACCTGAGCAGGTGTTGGATACCTGGCAGGACCCGGCGTGGGTGCTGCACCCCCCAGTGTGGGGTGTGGGGGGCAGGTGTTCCCCTGGCAGGACCCAGGGTGGGTGCTGACCCCCACCCTGATCCTGTGGGGTCGGAGTTGTGGTGTTTTGGGTCCATTTTTCACCTGCCAGGACCCAGGACAGGCTGTTACACCCCGTGTTGGGGTGTTTGGGTCCATTTTTCACCTGCCAGGACCGAGGACAGGCTGTTACACCCCGTGTTGGGGTGTTTGGGGTCCATTTTTCACCTGCCAGGACCTGGGTTGCCTCTCCCCCTGTGCTGGGGTGTTTGGGTGCTGATGTCACCTGTTGTCCCCCCCAAACCCCCCTCCAGGACAGACCCCCCCCCATCCCCAGGACCCGACACTGACTGATGGGGGCCCAGAGAGCCTTTTCCTTGGATTTTATCAGATTTTATTCCGTTTTACTGCGTTTTGAGGTGATTTCTCGTGATTTATTTTGTTTCTCAGCGCTCACTTTGGGGTGCTGGTGACTCAGCTGCGCCTCCCCCCCCAAATTCCGAGGCCCTGGGGGGGCAGTTTTGGGGTCTGTTCCTTCCCTTCCCCTGAGATTCCCTCCCGTGGGCGTTAAAAAAAGTGGGGAAAAAAAGAGGATTTAGCCCCAAAATGCCCCTTTTTCCCACCTGGAGTGGCCGGTTTGGGGCTTCCACCACCTTTGCTGGTGGTTTTCTGTCAGGTGAGGACCTAAAATTGAGCATTTTCGTAGCAAAATGATGCTTTTTTCCCTCCTTTCTTCTGAGTGAGATTTCTTGGGTTGTTTTTGTTTGTTTTTTTTTCTAGTTTGGCCTCAAAGTGTCCAGGGGGGTTAAAAAAAGGTGTCTCAGAGCCCAGAGGGTCGGTCTGGTTGAAAAAACAGCTTTAAAGGGAAGCCACTCCCTTTGAAAATGCTGAGAAATGGGTAAATTGAGGTGTTAGAAACCTTCTTTTTCTGCAGAGGGTTAGAAATCACTAAAATTAAGGGCTAGATCCCCCCTTTTTTTCCCCTCCAAAATGCTCAGAAATGGGAAAAGGTGGATTTTGGAGCCCTCTCTGGGCCTTAAAATGCTCAGAAAGAGGTAAATTTGGATTTTAGACTCCCTTTTTTCCTCTCTCCTCCCCCAAAAAAAGTGCTCAGAATCAGGTAAATGTGGATTTT